AGTAGGCATGGAAGTATTTGAGTTTTCCATATATTATGTTGTTTAATGAGGTGGGAGATAGTGTTGTTATTTTACAAAAGAGAAAACAGGTAGAGATGAAGTACCCCAGTTACACAACCACTAACTAAATAATGGAGATGGGATTCAGAGCCTCCTTCTAAAACCTTGTTTTATTTATGCCATGTAGTATTTTGGGAGAAAAGTAACATGTTCATTAACTTTCCTGTGTGACTTTAAAAAAAAAAATGATAGCAAAATTTATTTGAAAACGTAAAAATGAAGAGAGGGAGAAACTGGCTATGCAGAGTGAGGTTGGGCTGAGAAAAAGAGGAAAGATGAGCTGGGGATTTTGCTCAGTGGTGCTGCCTGCCCTGCAAGTGCAGGGTCCTGAGTTCAATCCCTGGTAACAAAAAAAAAAAAGGAAAGAGCAAGATAAAAGTACACCCCAGAAGATAAAACAGAGCGAGCTATCATGAAGAAAGCCATGATAGCTGACATTTTGTTTTTTAAAGGAACAGCATAATAGAATATCTCATGTCTCTTAGTCTCAGGTTAAAAAAGAAAACAAAACAAAAACAAAAAGCCTTCTCTTCTTTTTAGTAATTTTTTTTTTCTTTTTTGATGATACTGGGGATTGATCCCAGGGCCTTGAGCATGCTAGGCACGTGCTCTAGCACTGAGCTATACTCTCAGCTCTTTTTAGTATTCATTTTTTCTGCCCCCCCTTCTTTTCCAAGCCTGTCATTTCCCAGTAATTTTATAAAGTTTGATAGCTTAGAGAAAATTTGAATCAAGATATTTAATGATTTAGAAAAGCCTTGATCTTGTCTGTTCTCTTAATGACCTATTTTGTTGTTCATTTCCTTTACAGTTTGCCTTTGTCTTTGTTTTGAACTGAGAGGCTTAACTTACATCTCTTTAGTAAGGAGAAAAACATGGGATGACAGACCTGATTTCATGGTACATGGTGTAGTAGTAGTGTTTTTCTTTTTAAATTTAATCTCCTTTATGTCATACTAGTATAGTAAGGTTGACTGGGGGCACCTGGTGGGACAAGGCCAGAAGACCCAGTTATATTCTCAGCTTTTTATTTTTGGTACCAGGGATCGAACTCCATTCTTCTGCTTGCGAGCCAGGTGGCAGAATCACTGAGCTAAATCCTCAGCCTTATTCTTAGCTTTTTCTCATGACTGTATGACCATGGACAGAGTTCCTGTCTACCTCATTTCCCCTGCTTTGCCCTTTTTAATATAAGGAGTGGTTTTGATCTCCTAGAAATCTCTTAGAAATGTAGACTGACAATTACCTATTTATTTTCTAAAGTTTTTATTTTTGCATTTAATTTTGAGAAGAAGCTTACTAAAAATCTCTCAATCTTATTGTCATGTTTTCTTTTACAGGGATGACCATTGTGCAGCAGTTTGAAGACTTTGTTCTTAGCTAGTGGCTTATTTGAATATTTGTTCATAGTTTTGTGAATAGAGATCTGAATGTTTTAACTCATCAATCAGTATGTTTTTGACATTTTTTCGTTACTAATACCGTATGTTAGCCATGAATTTAGGGATTTTTCATTATGGCTCTGAGCTAAGAGATTAGTGTAGATGTAAATATGTTTAATTTAACTGACTTCTTCCTTGTTTCAGTTGTTTGCTGTCACTTGATTTAATATTACTTTGGAATGATATGCTGGCTGAAAAAGGTGCTTTGGGTAGAGTTAGAATTTTTTAAAATTAGGTTTTGTTTGTGGTACATAATTATTACTTTTGTTTTGGGGAATTGGTACATATATATTTGAATATAAACTAATCTTTGAAGAGTTTTGATTCATTTAGATAGACTATAGGTTTAAAAGTCTACTTTAAAGTCATTATTTTTGTCCTGATCTGAGCCCTTACATCTGTCCTCCAGTTCTCTTACCTGAAGTTAACTCTTTTTCATTTCCCATAGCAACTGTTTCAGAATTTCTTCCACTCTCCTCAGATTCTCTTTTCAATTTGTACCCTCCTCAGTTTGTAGAAGAGAGTCTTAACTTCCTGCTTCTGAGATCCTTCTATACTGCCCAGAAATCTCTTGTTGCCTTGTTTTCACTTCTCAGTTTAAGGGTACAGGAACCGCCATCTACTCCTCTTACAGCCTCCATCTCCTTCTCTGGTCTTGATTGTCTGTGGTCCTAATTGTGTGGGATTCTGTTTATAATCTAGGAACTTCAATTGTATGTCTTCAGTGTCTTTCTGTCTTACCCTCAATCTTTGTTATTCTAGTTGTGACAAAGAGTACATGAGTAGGGCTGGGGATTTAGCTCAGTGGTTCCGCCACCTGCCTGGCAAGCGCAAGGTCCCAAGTTTGATCCCTGGTACCAAAAAAAAAAAAAAAGAGTACCTGAGTGTCAGACAATGTTCTAAGCACTCTGCTATGTCTTTTTGTGTCGAAGAGCGTTCGGTTTCATCTCCACAGCAACCCTGTGAAGTGGTGGATGAAGGCAGTCCTTACTTTGCAAGGTTCTGATATGCACAAATTTTAGTTAAAACAGTTAACTAAATACCACCAGTCTCCCAACAATGTGGTTCAAAATTTAGTTACCACAGTGTATTAATTAGCTATGAGTAATTACATAAAGTTCAAATTTTGTTACTAAGTGCACAAAAATAGCAGATGTGCAACATGATCTGTGACCAATCATATCACCTCTTGGCCATTGCTCATTGATTGTGCATCTATTCAGTTTATGCAAAGTGTGTAGTTATCTCTTTTTCTCCTAGTAATAAAACCACTTGAACCATTTGACAAAAGTGGGTAATTAAATGGGTAAATTAGCCAACAAAAATTAACTTATAATAAAGAAATGGGAAGAAATAGCTAACTCTGGCAGTGTTGATTCTAAGTTAGCTCCATCTTTTAAAATATCATGGAATTGGGCCGGGGATTTAGCTCAGTGGTTTCACCGCCTGCTGTGCAAGCGCAAGGACCCAGTTCGATCCCCGGTACCAAAAAAAAAAAAATCATGGAATTGGCCAGGGATTTAGCTCAGTGGTGCCGCCGCCTGCCTCGCAAGTGCAAGGTCCTGAGTTTGATCCCCAGTACCGAAAAAAAAAAAAAGAATAATAAAAATATCATTGTTAATTTTATGGATCCATAATGATTACCATATATATGTCAGTGTCTTCCTTGGAGATATAAGAGAAGACTATAGTAGATCCATGAAAACCTATTAACTATAAAGTGCTTCACTGTTATTTCTTTTTTTTTTTTTTTTTTTTGGTTCCAGGGATCTAATTTAGAACCTTGTGCTTTGCTAGGCAGGCAGCGGAACCACTGAGCTAAATCCCTAGCCCTTCACTGTTATTTCTGACCTGGCAAATATGCAAAGCTTTTCTTTACTTGTAATACTCTGCAGTGCTTCTAAGCTTTATTAACATATGAGTCTTCAGTGAATTTGAATTTTTTCCTCCTGAGCTCATATTATACAACTAAAGTTGATAGCCAGGAAAAATTTGGTAGGTCTCTTGAGAGCTGGGTTTCTTGAGATTGCTCTTAAAAAAAAATTGTGGAAGAGATGAGAAAGTGAATGGCTTTTAGACTCTAAAGTGGGCATACCAAGGAAGAATGAGGAGCTTCACTGTGTAGGCACTGTCAGCTTATCAGTGTACAAGACACAGTCGTAGTCTTCTCCTTGCTTCCAGATAAAACAGAAAGATAATAGGCTCCCAAAAGGATTATCAATGGACATGGATGAGCCAAAGTGTAACTTTTCTGAGTTTCCAGAGAATGTTATAAATAAATTATTTAGCCGGGCTTGGTGCTGCATGCCTGTAATCCTAGCACTTGGGAGGCTGAGGCAGAAGGATCACTGCAAGTTCAAGGCCAGTCTGAACTATATATATATATGGTGAGACCTTGTCTTAAATAATTCATGAAATCAGGATTGTATAAGCTGGACAAGTCTTCATAGCTATGATAAAATCTATTTTGTTTTTATACTTTAAATTTTTTATTCTAGATAAAATATCTGTTCATTATAGAAACTTTTATATGTATAGAATAATGCAACAAGGCAGATTGTAGCCTAGTACTCTTAGTTGCTGATTCCAGTTTTTTCCAATTTTGAAAAATACAAATTGTATACATTTATAATTTTGTGTTTTTCCACCAAATATTGTTTTATAAGCCTTAACATTTTAAAACATGCTTGTGAATATTTGTATAGTAGTTGTAGGCTACACCACAATTTAGTTGACCAGCTATTTATGGTTGAGCACCTGAGCTTTGGTGCTGTTTCACTGTGAGAAATGAAGTCAGTAGCTGAACTCTTAGTCTTCGATAGGGCTGTACATGTGAATAGCTGGAATTGTTAACAAAGTGTTGTGGTTCTACCTAATGGTGGTTGTATTTCTGTATCATTCTGTGGTTGTGAGAGTAGATTGCTTCTTTTTCTTTTTTTAAAGGCAGTCTTGCTATGCAGTTCAGGCTGGCCTTCAACTAACTTTGTAGCCCAGACTGGCCTTGATCTCTAGGTGATCCTCCTGCCTCACCCTCCTGAGTGCTGGGATTACAGGTGTGTACCACCACATCCAGTTTGAGAGTAGATTGCTTTAGATCTATGTTTTCTCTCATTCTTGGATTTTTAAGAAAAATCTGTACATGACTTGTAAAAAGTTTCACCTACTTTTATTATGTTTAGATCAGTTTTCTCCTGCTGAGTTTTTCCTTCCCTTCCTCATTCTGTAAAACAGGTGATTTTTTTTTTCCCCATTAAGTTTATTGGTACATTTTAGGTTTACAATACAGTTACATTCATTATTGGGATCTTGTACCTTTACATGATGTATCTTGGTTCTTTTTCCCCATTCCCCTGCCCTCCCTTCACCCCTTCCACCCTTCCCTATTTACAAAGACTTTTTATTTCCCTTCCCTACTTCCCTTACTCCTTCCCCTACTTCCTTTAGACCTTTTCTTCCTATTTCACATTATCAATTATACATTTTGATCTTTAAAAACAGGAGATTTGATGAAGAGTGCAGCGGGAGAATTTGCAGATGATCCCTGCTCGTCTGTGAAGCGAGGCAACATGGTTCGGGCAGCTCGAGCCTTACTCTCCGCTGTTACCCGGCTGCTGATTTTGGCTGACATGGCAGATGTCTACAAATTACTTGTTCAACTGAAAGTTGTAAGTGCAGGCCTATGCCTGTAATTTGTTCTTTGTATCACAGTGAGGCCAGTGCTGGCCATATTTAGTTCAGCATTCCTTAGGATTTTATTTGGTTTTGAACTTGGTTTATCTAAATGGACCAAGGATTTTTTTTTAAATTTCCATTTAACTACTCTATCCCAAATGGACATGATAAAGGCTCTGCTATGAGCTAGTATTACCTTAGCTCTAAGGAAGAACTTGTGACAAAGGTATTGTTTTGACTCCTTCCTTTCCTGGAGTACTGATGATACATTTCCTTGTTACTAGGAGCCTAGATAGATTACATTGTGTATTTTTAGTTGGAGGCAAATATAATAGTGTTCTTTTCAACTCCTTTAGAGCACCTGTATAACAGAAGGCCCATACCAATGCAAGAATTTAAGTTTGGATTGTTTTCTGAGTAGCTGTTAAAAACAATAAAAAATTCTACAATACCATCTTTATCTGAATACTTGTATGGTGCAACATTTTTGATATTTGGGGTTGTGTTTTGTAGGTGGAAGATGGTATCTTGAAGCTGAGGAATGCTGGCAATGAACAAGACTTGGGAGTACAGTACAAAGCCCTGAAACCTGAAGTGGATAAGCTGAACATTATGGCAGCTAAAAGACAACAGGTACAGTCATTATTTGGGGATATTTTAGAGTTCTTTATTAACTAGTAGGAAAAACTCATTTTTCCTGTTTCCTAAGGTACTGTTACTTTACTTTGCTAATATAGGTACTATTACTTTACTCTGCTCCATTAAAACACTTAAACTACAAATTATCTTTCCAGTGTTGTGCTGTTAAGAGAGCTATAATTAAATTGGATTCTTGTTACACTCCTGTTTTAATTCTTGTGAAAATTTTATTTTAGGTAGTTTTAGCAGTTTCAGTGAAGATACTCTAGTGTCTGGAGATGTAATGGGCTTTTGTGTGTTCAAAGATTACTTGAGTTATTAGAGTTTAATTCAGTTTAAAAAAAACCTAGTCAAGTTAAAATATAATAGAATTATTGTATATCTGTATCAGAAAGTATCTCCCTTTCACCCCACCCACCATGTTTTGATACTTTTTATGTGGCACTTGCTAATCATTACTAATAATTTCTCTTATATTGTATGTAGATCAGTGTTTTGTTATTTGAAGCTTAGCCCTTTGGTGTTTTTCTGTTGCAGTGCTTTGAAATCTTTCCTATGCCTTTCCTGATAGATTCTGTATGTTTTCGGTATATATTCTGCAGAGAAAATACATATATTACCACCCAGTTTTTTTGTTTGTTTGTTTTTTGTGGTTTATTTTGGATAACAGTGATCGAACTCAGGACCTCGCGCTTGTGCAGCAGGCGGCAAAACCACTGAGCTAAAATCCCCGGCCCCACAATCCAGTTTTTTAAATCTTCTGACGTTCTAGTGCTGGATGTGGTGGTGGATGCCTATAATTCCAGCACTCAGGAGGCTGAGGCAGAAGAATGCCACAAGTTTGAGGTCAGCCTGGGCTATATAGTGAGTGAGTTCAAGGCCAGCTGAACAACAGAGCAAGATTCTGTCTTTAAAAACAAAAACAAAAAAACCTCCTAAACTTACAATGTTCTTGTGAGGTGTGTGATTTTAATTCTTGTTTTAAAACAATGCCTGAAGCCAGGTGTGGTGGTGCATGCCTGTGATCCCAGCACTCAGGAGGCTGAGGCTGGAAGATAGCCGAGAGTTTGAGGCCAGCCTGGGCTATGTAGGGAGACCCGGTCTCAAAAACAACAACAACAACAAACAAAACAATGCCTGAATTGTTAGCCCACATCAATTAGGGTTCTTTGTGCTGTAGTGCATAGTAAACCCAGTTCTCAAACTGTATAAAAAAAAAAATAGGTTTATTTTCTTACTAAGTAGAAGTCCTGAGTTAGGTTGACTTCACAGTTGTTATATTCAAAAGTATTGTGGTATCAAGGATCAAGGTTCTTGACATGTTTTAGCACTTCTTTTTTTTTTTGGGGTACAGGGGATCGAACTCGGGACCTTGGGCTTGTGAGGCAGGCGGCGGAACCACTGAGCTAAATCCCCGGCCCTGTTTTAGCACTTCTGTGTGCCCAACACTGGATGGCTGCGGGTGCTCCAAAGTATGAGATTTGCACACATTAATGTGTCCAGTGAGGAAAAGAATTTTTCTTTCACATGTCTCTATATGCGAACAGTTTTAGAAGTCCTAGCATACTAGCCCTAAATCTGAATTGTGTGACATGCCTGTTTTCACTTACCATTCTAAGACGAAGGGCTTTCTCCTATGCCTGCCTCAGTAATCAATACAGACCTTCTTCTCTGGGATAGGGATGTGCAACACAAACTCTGATAGGAAAGAAGAGGCTTGGGGTGAGTGGATGGATTTGGATAGGTAACCTAGGATGACTTACAGACTGTTTTCATTAAGAATAATTATCAGTGCTCTAAATGTCTGATATAAAAAATGTTTAATATATGATATCTTCAGCTTTAGAGGGTTCTTAGTTATTTGATTATATTGGTATATAGTATCTGGCCACAGGGTTGAGAGAATTAAGTTTAATAATGTGTGCATGGTATTGAATATAGTCCCAGCCACTAAGAAGTCCCTCCTTGGAGGATAGCTGGTGAATAATTGTCTGTTGGTCATATTTCAAGCCAGGAGATGTGACCATACTAATTTTGTACATATGAAATCCTGGTTTTAAATTTTGGCACTGTGCCTGCCTTGCAAGCACAAGGTCCTGAGTTCGATCCCCAGTACTAGGGAAAAAAAATAGTGATAATTCTGTAAATACAGCAAGCTGGCCAAATATGTTCGCAATTTACTTTACTCAGTGCTCTTTGATACATGTTCTCACTTGAATAAGTGAAATAAAATGGCTTCTTTTGTTGTTTTTAGTTTTGTTTATTGAGACAGTGTCACTCTGTAATTCAGGCTGACCTTGAACTCACTGTGTAGCCCAAGCTGGTCTCAAACTCATGGGAATCCTCCTGCCTCAGCCTCCTGAGTGGTAGGATTACAGGCTTGTGCCATCATGCCTGGCTAATAAATGTTGTTATATTAGAAAATAAAGTGGCCTGGGGATTTAGCTCAGTGGTGCTGCTGCCTGCCTTGCAAGCGCAAGGTCCTGAGTTCAATCCCCAGTACCAAAAGAAAATATGGTTTGGTCAGCATCCTGTTTTAAAACCTTGTTGAATCCTGGTTAACGAAGACTTACAATTTTTTAGGCAAATTAAGAACATTTAGACTGCCACTTACTATTTTGTGTCTTTGTAAAATGGTGGAATAAGTAAATAGATGGCGTGTTGGTTTTTTTTTTGGTACCGGGGATCGAACTCTGGTCCTTGCGCTTGGGCAGCAGGCGGTGAAACCACTGAGCTAAATCCCGGCCCTAGATGGTGTTCTTGAGGTAAAACATAGTAGCAGTTCAGAATTTTGTTTGCAGTTGGAAAAATGTGTTGGAAAGTAATGCTGCTTGAGTTTTAATTTTTCCACAACTCCATTAAGGATTCCTTGTTAGCATGTGATATTGAGTGAACTAAAACTATTTTCTTCTGCCTTTCTCAATTAATATTTTGGCAGAATACTTTATATTGGTACGTGAGTTAAAGCAGTTTATGTTATATGTTGATCCTTCACACCCTGCCACACTAAAAAACCCTGGGGAGATGTACTTTTTTTGACACTTTAATTTATTCACCCCCCCCAACCCCCCATCCAGCTCAAGACCTTTTGCTTGCCAGACAGGCATTGGCACCACTGAACTACATCCCCCAACCCTATATCCTTAATTCAAAGAGGAACATTTCTCATGGTTGTCCACTCTAGTTCATATATTCATTTTAAATCTTTTAAGTTAAGTTTAAGCTTTTTAAAAGTTTGTTTTGAGAGTTGAGACACAATGTTAATGCTATAGGAATCAGTGAGGCCTTGACTTAAAGCTTTCTTTGTAATTATTTCTTTCTGGCTATGTTTTACTAAGTAAAACTTGTTAAAATAAAGACGGAGGTCTTGGTACATGATCCGCTGTTATGGCTTATGTTTAGATGTTCCTCCCAATCCTCATGCAAATGAGGTGAGGCTTTTTTGGAGGTGGCTGGATCTAGAGTGTGTGACCCTGGAATCAATTTGTGTTGCCCTCCAGGCTCAAGGGCACTAGGATTAGGGGTGTGAGTGGTACCCACCCTGAGTAGTCTGAATAAGATAAAAGGGGCAGGAAGATGTTAAGGTCCCGTGTTGCTTTTGTTACCATGTGGGCACCATGAACTGTTTCTCCTCTGTAATGCCCCTCTGACATGTGCCACTCTGCCTTGGAGCCAGCCAATTAAGGACTGAAACCACTACAGACTGTGAGCTAAATAAATCTTCCCCGTTTAACTTGGGGTGTCAGATATTTTGTCTCAGCAACAAGAAAAGTAACTGACACATCCACCATGTATTTAAAGAAATTCTCGGTGGATGGCCCCCAACTTCAGAACAAGATATAAACATCGTGGTGCTATTGCACACATGTTGGATAATATTTTTGGCCTTCCATATTTTATGTTCCACCCTTGTCCTCCTTGTTCTCTATCCTCGGAATTTAACCTGTCTGGCTATGTGTCCATGGGCTGCCTGCCTCAGGTTCCTGATTAGGTTTGGCCAGTGCTAACATAAGCAAGATCTCAGAGGAGATAGTGATGCTGGGATGTTATTCATGGTGCCCACCTCCCTGATGGTTACCCTGGGTGGCTAAAAGACAAAGCTCCTGTTGCATAGCACCCTCCACACACCTTGCTTCCTGTGGCTGCCTCCTCTTGTCCTTTTAGGCATAAGCATCCCAACAACTTTGTTGTTTTCCTTTATTTTGCTCATACTTTTGTAACATAGTACCTAAACCATCTATAAATTACTTATTTTATTGCTGTTTTCTTTTTCTGTTGTGATTTATTTATTTAAAAAAGGTTTTTCTATCTTTTTGAGAGAGGATCTCACTGTGTAGTTCAGGCTGGTCTTAAACTCACTGTGTAGCCCTGGCTGGTCTTGAACTCATGGCAATCTTCTTGCCTCAGCCTCCTGAGTGCTAGGATTACAGGTGTGCTTTACCACACCTAACCACCTACTGTGATTTTTGAGAAAATGGGAACGTGTTTTTGGGGCTTTGTAGTATGTCAGTCATTTATAGTTTGCCTCTTCCCCCCTCCCCCTCCCCCATCCCTTTCCCTCCCCCTCTCCCTTTCCTTCTTTTCTTCTTTTTGACACTACTAGGGATTGAACCCAGGGGCATTCTACCACTGAGCTACATTTTCAGCCCTTTTTAATTTTTGTTTTGAGACAGGTTCTTGTTAAGTTGCCCAGGCTGGCATTGGACTTGGGATCCTTTCAACTCATCCTTGAAAGTAGCTGGGATTACTAGCATCTATCAGTTTGCCTAACACTAACTTTTAGCCTTAGACTCCTATTGAGAAAATTAATTTCGCTAGATGTGGTGGTGCATGCCTATAATCTCAGCCTTCATGAGGTGGAGGCTGGAGGCAGGAGGCAGGAGGAGCACTGTGAGTTTGAGGCCAGCCTGGACTACATAGTGAGACCCTGTCTCAAAAAAGAAAAAAAAATCCATTGAGTAGGCTGATTGTGGGCCTGTGTGTGTCCCCTGTTTACAAAATGTCCTTTTATAGGACCTGGGCCTTCATGTATATTCCTATAGATTAGTGCTTATTTGGGGAATGAAACTTCTACTTATATCATCCTATGGACCCAGTTGAGAATTCATTCTGGATACTTCTATACTCAGTTTCATTTGGGTACTGCCTCTTCATTTCCTTTAGTAACTGGTCATGTTTTCTGACAGAATTTTTTCATTGCTGTATGTTTAGCCCCCATATTAGCCTTTTATCATCATGACCACATATCAGAAAAAAAATCAAAAAAAGAACTTTTATTTTGACTAGTGGTTTCATAGGTTGCACTCTAGTCTGCTGATTCCAAGGCAGAAGAATCATGGAGGAAAGGCATGATGGAAAAAGCTATTCACTTCATGGCAGCCAGGAAGCAGAGAGTGGGTAAAGGGCCTGAGAAGAGTGGGCCAGGGACCAGATATTCCCTTCAAACGCATACCCCCAGTGACTCCCACCCCATCCAGTAAGGCTCCACCAAAAACGTACTGAGCTGTGAACTCGTTGATGGGTTAATCCACTTGATGAAGTTAGAGCCCTCATGATCCATTTAGATTCTCAGATCCCAGGAGGAGGTAACCAAGCCTTCAACACAATGAACTATTGGGGAACATTTTCTTTTTTCTTTTTTTGGTAGCAGGGATTGAACCTCAGAACCTTCCTGCGGTGCCTCTGAGCTAAATCCCCGGCCCTTGGAGAACATTTTTGAACCTCAGCTGCAGCAACTTTTTTGGTCTATTTCCTAAACTTTGGACTTTTTCTTCTTTCCTCAAATTAAATAATAATTTACCTCCACCTTTGATTGTCTCATCTTTGCAGGCAACCTTAGTCCAGAAAAAGTGTTTTGTCAACACCGGTATTTAGGTATAAAATGTGTAGTGGCTCCCTTAGCTGCCCTTGTATCACTTAACAGCAGCTACCCATGGAAGAAAAACTCCTAAGGTTCATACCCTTTGTGGAGTTTACCTCTTTGAAGTTCTTCTTGGATATGCTGTGGTGGTCATGATGATATTGTTGAAATTGAAATAATGAGTGACTAAAGTATTTACTTTTGCCAACTACTGTTATAAGTCCTGTATAAACAAATTCAGTTCTATAAATCCTACTGCTGAGAACCTTGCCTAGATTCAGTAATGCTCAACAGTTATTTGTTGAATGAATAAACCACTTGGTGTGCTTTAGATGCATCCTGTATTGGGATTCTAAATGTGGCTCCAATCTGTTAACTTTCTAAGGTGGACATACTTGTTGAGTTGAAGTGTTATATTTCTGTTAGCCTCCCGGCTCTACTTTGATTGTAAAACTGTATTTTCTGTTGCTATAACTGAATATCACAGATTGAGTCATTTAAAAGAATAGATGTTATTTAGCTCATGTACTGGAGGCTGAGAAGCCCAAGAACATGGTGCTCAATGTCTGATGAGAGTCTTCTTCATCACAATATGGCAGAGGGCATCACTTGGCAGACACAGCTTGAGTCTCTCCCACTAATGCCATCTTGGAGGTCTGGATCTCATGACTGCATTCAGTCCTAATTATCTCCTGAAGGTCCTACCTCTAAATACCATTAACACATAAATTTGGGGATTATTTCTGACATGTAAACTGGAGGGTGGGGGACATGTTCAAACAGTAGCACAGGGTAAAGGTGATGGCAGAGGTAAGGATGAACCAACATCAATCCAGGTTTACTTTTTTTTTTCTGGTATCGGTGATTGAACTCGGGTCCTTGCACTTGCGCAGCAGGCAGTGAAACCACTGAGCTAAATCCCCAGCCCCTGTTTTCCTTTTAATTGATTTTTTTTTTTTTTTGGTACCAGGGATTCAACTAAGGACCTTGTACTTGCGAGGGAGGCACAGTGCCACTGAGCTAGATCCCCAACCCTGATTGATGTATTCTTATTACAGTAAATAGTGATGCCCACTGTAGTATCCATTTTCTTATCTTCACTTAAAATTGGTTTCTTTGTGCTGAGGCAAAAGCAGTTTTAAAGAGAGAAAGAAGAATACTTTAGCAGTTAGGATAAGCGATTATATTTAATTGTTTTTTTCATATTGGTTGAAATATATCTTCCATTCTGATAGGTGTCTATCAGAAATACGTTGTGCTGAGGGCATGACATTTAGAAAATGCTACACAGAACATGTAGACCTGCTATTTAAGCAGAATAATTAGCCACAGTACATTGCCATAACTTGAGTCTTGAAATGAACACCTAAATCCACAGGGTCCTGTTTTTGAATATTTAGCCTAATATGGTCTTTGGAAAAGTAGAAGATTATCATACCAGGTCAGGCAGTGGCTTAGGGATGTCAGGTGTTGACTAGTATGTAATTCTGGCAGCTATTAACTTTAGATGATCACAAGAATCTTTGGTAAGCATTATAAGAATATGTGCTGATCTAACGGAAAGAATGCCAAAGCTGGTTGCAAAACATTTTAGAAAATAGAGGATAATGTAAATGCTTAAAACCAAATGCTTCCCTGTGAGACTTAGAGTCCTTCAAGTTGTGGTGAGGATAAGACATTTAGGAAATGTCCCACAGAACATGTGCACCAGCTGTTTAAGTGTGATGTTAGCCACCTCCCCTTGTTGTGACTTGAGTCTTGAAATGATTACTCATTTTTTAAATCTACAGGGTACTATTCTGAATATTTAGCCTAATGCACTGTGCTACAGGGCATTTGGAGTGCTGTGAGCCATTACTTGCAAATTCAGGTGTCAAATTAGAATTCTAGGAGGAAATGTATGTTGTCATATTATTCATGGTGTGGATAAAGATGTAAACCCTAAAATATATACTGAAATGAAGTTTCAGAAAAAGGAAGCCAGTTTGATGTTTCTAATGCTTAATTAGGAACTCATCTAGAAAGAGAATTCATTATGTAGTTAGGTCAGACTTTTAATTGAGTAATTGACTTTGGCCTTCTAAAATTAGTCAGTTTTCTCTTACTGTTTCTACATCTAGTACTCATTTTAAAAACATTTAAATTTGTATGTTAGGTTTTAGTTGGTGACATTAATATTGGAATTATATGATCATATGTAAAATAGACTTGGAATAGATCTAGTGTTAGAATTTCCAATCATATTTCCTCTTCTGATGGTGATTCACATTTATCAAAGACTTCTCTTTCTCCCTGTCCTCTTTTTCTGTCCCTTTTTCAGTAACAGTGGGATATCAGGAGTGCCCCTGTCTCTTCTTGGTTATATTGTTGGTATCATTTGTCATTTAGCCTACTCACCCAGCCTAATAGGTGGATGCCGTTAATAGAAATTGTGCCAGGAACCTTAAGGCCTTTTAAATTGTGGATTATAATTACAGGATAGAGGAAATTGAAAAGGACATTTTCACTTAAAACAACATCTATAGCCAGGTGTAGTGCATGTGCCCTGGAGAGGCTGAGGCAGGAGGGATTGCCATGAGTTTGAGGCCAGCCTGGGCTACATAGTGAGTTCAAGACCAGCCTGAACTGTATAGTGAGACCCTGTCTCAAAAAACCAAAACAACAACAATAACAACAAAAGACCACATCTACTATGATGAATATTATAATTATGAATTGAAATCATGGAGCACATGAGCCTCAACTTTTTGGTTTAATGACCTTCAACTGGTCACACTGAGCCATATAACTCAATAATTCCTCATAATCATGCTCTGTTTAAACTTGTCTGTACAATGTGTTTTGGTTGAAATAGAGATACATACATTTATCTATAGTTACAATCTAAATGCTAAGAGATTTTATGTTTTGACTTTTATTTAGTGCTATTCCAGGTACTTTATCCCATTTATTTTTTCCCTATCCCATTTATTCCTCAGGATGATAAAAGAGCTATTGTTGCTGCTCCTATTTTTGCAGAAGGAAAAACTGAGTATAATGTTTAAAGTAGGATCACAAAAACCAAGAAAAAATAGTTTGTGTGATTCCAAAGCTCAAAGCCATACTGTTTCCTTTGTGATTAATTTTCAAGCTTGTTTGTTAATGAAAATAATGCATCTGTCTAATTAGTAGAAATGCTAACTTTTTAGACTCTATTGGCAAATTTTCATATTAATAGAACCCATATAAAGAATGCTTCAATTTTCTTATTTTACTCTTGTAGGAATTGAAAGATGTGGGCCATCGTGATCAGATGGCTGCAGCCAGAGGAATCCTGCAGAAAAACGTTCCAATCCTGTATACTGCATCTCAGGCTTGCTTACAACACCCTGATGTCGCAGCCTATAAGGCCAACCGGGATCTGATATACAAGCAGCTGCAGCAGGCAGTCACAGGCATTTCCAATGCTGCCCAGGCAACCGCGTCAGATGATGCTTCCCAGCACCAGGGTGGAGGAGGAGGAGAACTGGCATATGCTCTCAATAATTTTGATGTAAGTTATGCTTGGGAGGAAACTTCAGTCTCTTCACCAATCCCTAGAAGATAACAGGTTCTTGGCGAAATGTGATCAAGGGTTCTGATGAAAGCTCAACTGCAGATTTAAGTGGAAAGAAATTTTTATGAATCATCAGTCTACATGATTATAACTTGGCTCCAAGCATTCGTCTTTTTTTTCTTTTCAGTTTCGGTTAAATGAGGTCATTTTTTATTGAGACTATGAGTCTGGGTCATTTCAACAAGATTTTGACCTTCAGAAGATTCTTGTTTTGTTTGATTTGTTTCTTTGAGACAAGATCTCATCATGTATTCCATGCTGACCTTAAATTCACTGTGTAGCCTAGGTTGGCCTTGAACTCTTGGTGATCCTCCTGTCTCAGCCTCCTGAGTGCTGGGATTACAGGCATGCCCAGCTCCTTCTGGTAGATTTGAAGCTCTGGGAGATGCAGAAGCAAAGTGTACATAGACTCCAAGAACACATAGTCTACTGGGAAATACAGACATATCATACTGATTGCTTTAATCTTAATCTTGTCTGCCTAGATATATTTCTCCATGTATTAATTTGAATCACAAACACACAGTGTAATCAAGTGAGGCCACATTTGAAATTAAAGTATTTTCTTAGCATAATGCTATATAATTAATTACCTTTTATAAATGATGTCCTAGGTCCGGTTATGTATATTGTGTATGTACAGTCTAGTGTACACAGCTGCTTTTTTTTTTTAATTCCTACCCACAGTGCCTCTGGTTTCCAGTAGATGGCAGCAACTTAAGATATTTTTAAAAGATTTTTGTTTATTTTAAATGAACTGTCAAGACAAAATTTTTTCTTTTAAAGTAAGAGAATATTGTGTTATAAGTGGCCAGCATACTTTCCTAATAGGAATTCTTTAAAGTATGGAATTCGGTACAATGGAATACATTTTGTTTTTATCAGTTTTGCCTTGCCTTATCTCTTTTGTCTTACCTCTTCTGCTTGGGTAAGTGATATTTGCTAATATACATGCCTGATTCAGGACTTGTCATAAGGCGTAAAGACAGGGTTAAGCCTAAAGACTGATAATCAAAATGGAGCTTTAAATATGAAGTGACTTTATAACAGACTCTTAAGATGCATTTTTTCTTTCCCCCCTTTTGTAGATTGGCCTTCTCACTGAGCTACATCCCCAAAATTCCTGCCTTTTTATTTTTTATTAGAGATAGGGTCTCTGAGTTGTTAATTTGCCCAGACTTGGGTTGACTCTTTTGGTTCTCCTGCCTCAGCATGTATAAAGTGAGGAAATGGATAAAATTTATTATATATGCATTTCTTTCTGAAACTTTGGGGCAGAAGTCAGTGTTACATGTTTATTTTCAATTTATACTCTGTACATAAGAAAGAGATAAGTTTTATTTTCCTTGTAATTCTCATATGATAATTTGAATTACTATTACAGCATAGGCTGACCTTTAGATGTTTAGAATAAGTAGTGTGAACATGACAAACTTGGCATTTGCACTTATGGTACATACCTTACCCAGGGCCTGTTTGCCTGGATAGTTCCTTATTTGGGAAGTGATCTACTGTAGTCCAATTTACATGGGATAGCCTTACATGGGATAGTCTTTCATGTGCCAAGAAGAGTAATTTTCTTTTAGATAATTGGAATTAAACCTGGATTTTTTTTAATAAGACTCTTTCCTTGCCTTCTTGAAATGGAAGAAACAGAAATGAGCATTAACATTCGGTAAAACTTCCTTTGCAGAAACAAATCATTGTAGACCCTCTGAGCTTCAGTGAGGAGCGCTTTAGGCCATCCCTAGAGGAACGCCTGGAAAGCATCATTAGTGGTGCTGCACTCATGGCTGACTCATCCTGCACGCGTGATGACCGCCGTGAGCGAATTGTGGCAGAGTGCAATGCTGTCCGCCAGGCCCTGCAGGATCTGCTCTCAGAGTACATGGGCAATGTGAGTGTCGGAACTTCTCCTTTTTTGTTGTTATTTCTTTGGTTTTTTGGTGGTATTGAAGGGCCTTAGCACTAGGCTATTCTGTTCTTCCACTCCTACCACTGTTTTGTTTTAAATTTTTGAGACAGGGCCTTGGTGAGTTGCTCGGGCTGGGCTCTAGCTTGCAGTCATCTTGTTTCAGTGTTCCAAAATGCTGAGATTACAGGTATGTGCCGCCACACCTGGTTAGAATTTTTCTTTGAAGTGAGATATTTATGTCTGAAGAGTTTTCTATAACAGTTTGGACCTTAGATATTTTAACAATTAATAACAAGTATATGTCTTTGACTTCTTGGCTTTTTTGGTGGGTCAGAGTTTTAAAGCAATGGGTAAACTACTTTCTAAGTGGCCTTTTCTTCTCCAACTTTTTATTTTGCAGAAATTTAAATTTAAAATAATCGTGCAACGAACACTTATATACCCTTCCACTAGATTAATCAATTAACACATAGACACATTTGCATGGGTGTATAAATGTTTATATATCCCAGGGTACTTTTTTTTTCCTCTGAAACATTTGCAAGTAAATTTTAGGCATTTTGATGCTTTATCTTCATGTATTTTAGCATGTATCTCTTTAGAATAATGACCTTCTAAATTTCTGTTATTATAACTAGGTATCTGTCTAAATCTGGGTGAGAGGAAATGCTGAAAATCTATCTTTAATATTTTTTTTTGTGTGTGTGCCAGGGATCGAACTCGGGACCTTATGCTTGCGAGGCAGGCGCCGGAACCACTGAGCTAAATCCCCAGGCCTATCTTTAATATTTTTTTATGAAATTTCTTTTATGAAATTTTTTTCATGAACCAAATGGAATGTTGAAAGTGGATAATTGCAATATATAGCTATATGGGGCAAGCTCGGTAATTTTTTCTTAATTTTTTTTAAATTTTAAAGTTCATGCTTAAAAATTAGTGCTATGAAATTTGATACTGTTTTTGCCATAGAAAAATCTGAATTGCTGATTTTTCTCTTTTATCATATCTTCTCTCTTTTTCCTTCCCTATTACTTTTCTCTTCTAGCTACTTAATACTACTTCAAGGTTACTGTAGTTCAGACCATGTACCTAATATTCTACTATGCAAGGATGGAATAAATTAATAAAAATTATATAAAAGCATTTTAAAGGGAAGAGGGACAATACAAATTAGTTGTCCTCACTAGTGATTTTGTTTTTTTTCTTTAACACTTTTTTTTTTTTGGTACTGGGGATTGAATTTGGGTCCTTGTGCTTGTGCGGCAGGCGGCGAAAACACTGAGCTAAATCCCTGGCCCCTCTTTAACACTTTTCAGAAAAAGATCTTGGTTCGTTCTCATTTGTTCATTTGCTGCACATCTTGTTTTTCGCTTATATGCTTATTGTTTTGTTTGTGGTTTAAAAAAATTTTATTTGTATATTTTACATATACGTAATGATCACATTCATCACAAGGAATTTGTACTTGTATATAATGTATCTTGATTTTTCTTTTTTTTCCCGAATCCCTTCCCCACCCTTCAACCCCCTTTTCCCCTCCTGTTTACAAAAGCTTTGTTTTTATTTTTTCTTTCCTCTTCCTTTCTTTCTCCCTCCCCCACCATGTTCCCCTTCCCATTTGAACATTTTCTTCCTATTGCCCTCACGTGCTTATATTGGTGAGTCATGATGGAATTCCTAGGGTGAAGATAAATGCCTTCCTGTGTTTATCTTGTTTCTCTCATATTATGAAATTAGTGAAGCATAATGAATTTTAAGACATTGCCATGTTTTGATCGTAAGTCAGTCTACCTAAGAAAAATGAGATTAGAAGTTTAGTTAATTCAAAAGGAAAATGTAGTTGATAAGTCACAGTGGGAATGTGGGACACATTTAAAAATCCACAACTATTCTAGAGAATTAGAAAATACAAAAAGATGGATAAGCTGAAGAATTACTCACAATATTAGATTCATAAGTAAGAGAACAAATACTTAAGACTGTATGTGGATCAGTTACCTGCTATTATGTGTAGTGATGGAAGCGACACAAAACTGTCCAGTGCAATTGTGATTAGGAAACCTTTTTGAAAACAGCTTTGATGGGGAAGAGGATGTGATAAATCTGCAGAGCTTCCTAATGAGTCTCAAGATAAACCTTAAGTCCTAGGGTTGCTCAGACTGTAGCCAACCTTGACTTGAGCTTTCGAGTTTCTTCCTAGAGTATCATGGAAATACCTGTAGCACTTTCTATTCATGATATAGTGTAGGAAAACTGAAATTGCTCATTTAGTATATAAAAAACTTGGAGACCATAGTAGAGCACTTTTTAAGTGAGAACTAAAGCACAATGCTTGATGATAGGCTGAAGGCTGAGTATGTGGTGGAAGTCTTGAAAGAAATTTTCTTGGGATCCAGAAGAACATTTTAGGAGTTGAACTCTGGGAATGTGTCTCCTGAAATTGATGGGAATGTGTCTCCTGAAATTGATCTATAGTTTCCTTTTCATTCATTCATTCATTCATTCATTCATTTATTTATTTATTGGTACTGGGTATTGAACTCAGGTTCTTGTGTTTGCAATGTAGGCGGCAGAACCACTGAGCTAAATCCCCGGCCCTGTCGTTTTCCTTTTTATTGACTCATGTAAAGTGAACAGGTTCAGTCTTGTCAAGAAGCAATGGAGTGAGGATAAAGGGGGAAGGCACTGGACTGCACTTGAAGAATGTTGGAAAGGCCCAGAGAAGCAGAAGCAGCTAAGGATAGATTTTTGTTCATTTATGAAGCATTTACAATGTTTACAGCCTGAAGTGACGGAATTTAACTGGCCATCTCTGTCAGTCACTCAGTTCATATGGTGTATGTGTTACATGCAAAGCAGAGTTCTGGGCACCATGTAAAAGAAGGAATGTTCTGATCCTTCCTTTTAGAATACAAAGAATCTTTACAGGGTATTTAATGCCATGCAAATAGCAAGGAGGATGAGATTATTTCCAGCTGGGAAATCAGAGGCTTCTTAGAAGATTTATTTTATATTCTTCTGATTAAAAAAAAATTAAGTTTTGATTATTTCTATTGAAAAATATTAAACAAGTAGTTATAGTATGACTTGCATCAATTAAAACTTGTTTATTACATAGAACTTTGTAGACTGATAAAATCTAGAAATGCTAACATGTTTTCACCTTTTCCATTCTGTGGACTCTCCCATTAATAGCATTATTATTATTAATTTATTATTATTATTATTTTTTATTTTATTTTATTTTTTTGGTACTGGGGATTGAACACAGGACCTTGGGCTTGTGAGGCAGGCACAGCGCCACTGAGCTAAATCCCTGGCCCTTATTAATGTAATTTTTGTAATTAAGTTTTAAGCTTTTGGAAGACTGAACTATGTGAAAGTATTCTTTCATGGTCTAGTATAATGCTAGAAGAGGTACTCAGTAAAAGCTTGCTTAATGAACACATGTTGACTTCGGAGAATGAATAAAATGAACAGTTTGGGGGAAAATACCCTTATGGGCTTTGAATTCTGGGGCAGGTGGGGTGTGGGAGGCTGTGGGTGGTTTACCTCTACTTACTGAAGATTCAGTATGTGGATGACATTTTAGAAAAAATTACCAACCAAGAACTCAAAAACAAGCAATTAGTGAAAGTAATACCTTGGACCAAAGTAGAATCAAATTTAATTCATCAGGCAAATGCCAGTGTTCCTTTTAAAGGCCCTAAGGGTCAGGAGTCCAGCAGCCTTAATGTTCCTGTTTGCATTGTGGTTTGAGAAGTTAGAGGGTAGTCAGATAGTCTTGGCTCTATAGCTTATTTATAGAGGCTCTAAGAGATACTGATGTAAAAGTAATGTGTTTAACCCTAACTAAATGTGGAAATACCACAGATGTATGACAGTAGAGGTTCTTCAACCCACCAATGGATTCTTGTAATTCTACAAATGACCATCAGGTTTTCTTGAAATGTAATATGGTTAATTTAGTTTGCTTCTCTTTTATCAACCTAAAATTGTTCTGGGTGTAAGGGTTCTAGAGAAAGAAAAACATCTTTGAATAGGTATTATAACCTTAAAAGGTTTAAAAGTAAATAAATTGAAATTAAAATGAAAAGTAATTAAATTTGAAAAATGTTATTAGTATTTTATTCTGTATATAAACATGAAATATTTATTGAACTAGGGTGCCCAGTTGTGTGTCGTACTGTTCTCTGAGATTATTTCAGTTGCAGTGAAAAACCTCTTAAAGAGCCTTTTATTTATTTATTTATTTGCTTAAATTCTTTTATTGGTACATTTTAGGTATACAATACGTTTACATTTGTCATTGGGTGCTTGTACCTGTACATGATGTATCTTAGTTCTTATATTTTCCCCATTACCTGTCCTCCCTTTACCCCCTCCACCCTTCCCTATTTACAAAGACTTTATTTCCATTTTTTCCTTTTCTCATAATTTTTCCTTTCCCTTCTTTCCTTTCCCCTTCCCCTCCCAATTTCCCTACCCCTTTGGACCTTTTCTTC